CCGCAAGGAGACCTCAGATGTTGTCTGTTCAGGTTAAATGTGCTCGTCTCTGCCTCCCATTCACTATTGTGTTGAACCTCCTATAAATCAGGCTGTTATTTTTGGATGTCTTTTGCGCAGAGCAAACAGGCCGCAGTCTGACATTGGTGAGCTCATCTGTTTTGCGACCAGCCTGACATCACTGTCTCGTCAGTTGACCAGCAGATTACTGCATCACTTCATGCCTTCGTTGAGACTGCATTAAGACATCCTGCACACACACACACGCACACACACACACACACACACACACACACGCACACGCACACGCGCACGCGCACACACACACACACACACACACACACACGCACGTGAAGGCACACCTCAGCCAGGGGAAGATATGGGCAGGAAATCAGCAGCAGATGTGGGTGTAAAGTATCAAAGATGGAGGCAGGGAGCCCCTCTTACTAGCACACCCAGTCCACCTCCTGTCTTCTGGTCTTTCTTCCAGCGAGCCTGAAAGGGTCACTTTGAAGCACGACGCTGCAGTGCAATGATCCGATCCTTAAAAAGGGCCTTTAATGCGAGGTGTGATAGTGTAGATCTCCCTCGTATTAACACATGGTATCGGCATTAATAATGAAATAAAATTGTCATAAGTCGCACAACGCAAAGGCACACACGACATAAGCTGAGGAATAATTGTTTGAACATTCATTTAGTGATTTAAAGGGAAATCGAGAGTGCTACTTCAGCTTCAGCCGCTTTCAAAAGCGTCCTTATTCGTTTTTTCACTTTCACCGCAAACTAGTTCTGAACACAGAATAGCATCCGAAATGAAGAGCGCAAAGGACAATACGGACCAGGATTATTTACGATGCATGATTTATTTTAACCTCTCGCCCGAAGTTGGCTGGGATAGACTGCAGCCCCCCCGTGACCCTGTGTGCAGGGTAAGCGGTTTGAAGATGGAGGGATTTATTTTAACCATGCAAGAGTTTCTGATTGTTGGAATTGCAGCAGTCTACAATCAAGATGAGTTTGGTGAGCTTTTATTTAGTTTCTGTTCACTTTATGTAAAGGGCGTTTTATGACACATTAAGGCAATCAGGAGTAGTGGGAGGGTGTTTTATTTTTGTGTATTTTTCAGTGTAAAAAACGACTGAATGAGTGCTTCTGCAAAACTTGGCGCTGGCAGCACAATGCATCATGTTCCACAGAGACCACGGCACTCACTTCTCTTGATCAATACAGTACTCATTGGAAAATGGCTCTGATTGAACTACATACTTTGCTTTAAGCTGTTATTAATTCTGCTGGCCCTCATTGATTTCCTGTTTTCTCAAATGAATAGTTTATTGCTCGGTCAATGTAATGTCACAATGGGTCCCAACACCCAGGTAGAGGTTGTGAAATCCCCTTTTTATTTTCTGAAAAAAGATATTGAAATGTACAATAATTGAGGACGTCCAATCCTCACATTTGACAGATATTTTGAATTAAATGATTCATGGATCCTCAAACGAATTGCTGATTCATTTTTAGATGAATCCATAGTGTTTGGTTTTCAGCTCTTGTAACACCGAGTGGAAAGATGATGGCTGCAGAAATCCTCAAATCTGTCTGATTCGCTTTAGTAGCCAATCCAGCTCTCACTGAGGTCAGGGGTCATCCTCTTGTTTGCTCCTCACAAACTGACGTTGTGATTACCAGCAGCATAAAACCCATCACCTAAGTGTTCTGAGTGAGACGTTCAAACACAGCCGCAAAACATCCAAAGTTTGAATGATACATTTTTCAACTTCTCACTTAACATTTGGGACAACCTGGCTTTCGTCAAGTGAGACTCCATCAGCCACAATAGAGTCTCACTTGATGAAAGCCTCCTTAACGCGGCACATAACAAACTGCTGGTCGGGCGAGACGAAGCGGAAGAAGCAGAAGGCCAAATCGGTGTAGGTTTTCACCAGGATTCCATTTACGTGTCTGATTAATTGCTTTTCTTATAAATCATAGGTACGGTCATGGGGCAACGCAACCTACCTTGTGCAAGAGAAGAAGACAGAACAGGGGGGGTGGACAACGAAGAAGAGGAACAAGGGGACAGTTATGCGTTTGAGTGGTCGCGTTGGTAATTAAGTTCACTTGTGTGTGTTTGGCATGAAAAGAGTGAGTGATGCTGTGTCCCGCATGGAGCTCGGCGCGATAATGGATCTACACAGTATTGTGTAACTACATGTCAAGCCCAAGTTGAGATGTGCATTTATTTACTTTTGATGAATGAGGTTTACTCGGGGGGGCAGCTTGTTATTCAAATGTGGACGTGGAGTGATTTCCCTGCTCCGGGGGAGACGTGCACCGTAGAGGATGGCCTCCCTCTGACCGCTGACCTCAGCGCATTAATTAACAGTGCATTCCCTGACTTGTGACTGTCTCCATTTTGTTTGTGTGGCGCCAATGGATTGCAGCTCTTTTTTTTCTTCTTTTTTTTCTTTCTAATCTGTCAGTTTTCTCCGTGGTCTCCGTCTCGCGTCCACTTGGCTCCGCCCCTTGTCAGGCCCTCTTTCCCAGCTTCCTTCCTCTTCATCCCGCATCTTCTCTCCGTCCTGGGGCCCCTCGGTCCGATCACTTCCATCAGTTCTCACCGGCCCCTTTTCACCGTGACGTTAAATACCACCTGCACCTCCCCTTTTCTCTCGTCGCACCCGTGATCCGTCCAATCTTCCTCTCATTTCTCACACCTCCGGCAGCAGCCAAGTCTGTCCCGCTGCAGTTTCGACATGTTTCCTTCTTTCTTCGCCTTTTTTCATCCCGGTCTCCTCTTTCGTTTCTCTAAACGAGCCTTTCAGGTGTCGTCAGTCATCGGCAAAACCTCCACATCCGTCTGAGCAGGCGAGCACAGAAGCGAGGGAAGGACTGAGGGATGGTGACGGATTGGTTCGTGATGGAGGTCTTGAGCACTTAGAGAGGGAGGAGCGGAGTGCACGAAGAGAGGACCAAAAACTAAAATATATCCTCCGTCTGGGAAACCCTCAACCTTTGATCGGTCGTGTAGCGAACTAACCTTTTAAAAAGCATGTGTATTGTCACACACACCAACCATCACTTCCTGTAGCCTTTTCGGGACACTCGCTGAGGTAACGGCCTCTCAGGAACATGGGTTTGTAAAAATAGGCCCTTTCACTCGCAGACATTAAACTCCTCGCATAAGTCGGCTCTCTCGAGGACGCAAGTTCCAGGAAAACATTACTCCGTCCTCTGCTTTAAGTCGTAGGTTACCGTCCGGTAGCGTGACGGATGCTGTGAGCAAGCTGACCCTGAGGAAGAGCCAGGAGAAGTTGCCGGGGGGGCTGTGAATTAAAGGGCCTTCAAGGCAACCTGGGGAGGGAAGCAAATGAGAGGGGACATGAGGAAAGTCGGCGGTAAGCTCAGTCTTTACTTTCAGTCCAATAAAGCGAAGAAGCTGAAAGGCAAACCAGGCTTTTCCTTCCTCTCGTCTCTCATTTTCTCTCTCCTCCGTCCAGACCGCCAATAGCTGTTTTTCTCTCGGGTTGAAGCTTCACAACAAAGAACCGGTAATATAATTGTCCGCTGTGAGCTGATGTGCGCTTTCGGGAACCCACTTTGTAAAAGAAACAAAGTGCAACACAAGAACACGACCGCATGGACTAGTGGTGTTCCCAAAGGTCTGTCCTCTCTTGTTGTCATTCTTCTCCTGTCGCTCTCACTCTTGCTACTCCGTCCGCACCTTCCTGTGTGGTGTGTATGTGTGTGTGTGTGTCTGTGTGCAGCTTGGGACGGGCCGTGTCCCACCGCAGTGTTGAAGGAGTCCACAGAGGTGTGGCGGAGTGTGCGAGTGTTGAGCCGACTGCACTGACGGTCGCAGGAGGGTTAGCATCAGCGCTACAGACTCTTAGCATTCCACCGCCACCCGTCTGTTAGCAGATGCACTTAAAGCACGTTGTTGTCTTTCGCCTCCCATCCGAATTGCCTTTTTACGGTCTCAACCTGTGCATCAGTTTCGGCCTGAGTGTGTGAGTTTAGGAATATGTTTGACTTGTCTATGGGCGGCTGAGGATGAGGAGGGAAATGTCCAGCGGGGTTCCTACTCATGGCGTCCTACTCCGCATGTAAGAGGCCAAACTAACAGATGGCTCTGGTTGAGGGAGCCCGAGTTGGCCTTTCCTCTCTTTTAGAGTTCCTCCTGACGTCTCCCGTACTGCACGTCTTTATCTGTTGCGTATAAATACTGTGCGCTCTTGAAATGTTGGAGTCGTTGCCCTCCAGTTTAATGCCGCTAAAACAAACGGACATTATCGTGTGTGTTGAGATGGAGCCCGCGCGCATACGGAGTTATCTCCGCTGCTTGTGTTTGTTTGGTGGCTTCTGATGGAACACAGGTCTCTGATAATGGAGCCTTTTACTTTTCAGTTCATTCAACCGCCCCCCCTCTGTGTACCCTGCAGCTGTTTTTGTTCAGCTTGGTTTACTTTCCATCCAAAATGTTAGGTCAAATACAGACTTGTACCCATTTCACAAGCACACGTTACAATATGCTGGTGTGTTTACATTTCCTGTGCTCAGCGGACAGCATAAAACTCCTGACACAGAAACTCAAACAAAATAACTTAAACAGAGCAGAGCTTGATCCAGGTCTCCCCCCGGATCCTGACCCACAGGTCAGTTTACAACTTGTCACGACCTTTTAACCCTGGAGGGTTACTGGCGTAGTGTGTGGGGCTGTGCTCGACCGAGGAAGCTGTAAGTGGACTGAACCGCTCGCACGACTACTGGCGCTACCACTGCTAAATAATGTTGCCATCTGCCTGTTGTATTAAACAATATATATATTAAGGGATTCATGGCGACATCGAAAAATTAAGGAAATTCTGTCATTTAATAAAAATGTCGAAAGCCAGTTTGACATTCTTCCCGGGCAGAACATTTCCCAATGAGTGGATTTTCCAGCAGGAGGCCTAACACGCTTTTTCTCCCCTTCTCTGTCCCTTTTGTCTCCCCAGGGACAGTACCGGCCTTCAGACCTCCTGTGCCCAGAAACCTATGCCTGGGTCTCAATAGAGCAATGCATACCCCAGCTGGAGAACTCCCGCTACGCTCGGTTTAACCAGGACCCCGAAGCAGGTAGGACCACGTGGCACTCTAGCGCTTCCATGAACCACGCAGCTTGCTGACCTGCCACACTGCGCTCCATGAACCTGCTTCACTGTGGTGCTGCACTGTGTTGTCGTTCTAAAAAGGGACCATGGTGCCATTAGATGATTAGTGATATTTGCTGTAATGGAGACTGGCAGGCGGCCATCGGATGGACCAGGCCAGGCGGAGTGTTTAATGGAGCGGGTTTCAGAGGAGAGTTTTGGAAGGGATTTTTTTCTTTTCTTGCATACATGCGTATCTAGAGAGATTAGATGGAGTCATTTTCCATCCTCCTAGTTCTCTTTTAATCAACCTCTGTTTACTCTGCCGTATGGAATCAGCCTTTCTCTGCTCTCGATGGTTTTATAGGGAATATGCAGTGAAATTTCTGCAGCTCCCACAAAAAACCAAACCAAGAACCAAGAGTTCCCAGAGTTTGCATCTTGTGGCCCTGCACACCTTGTGTAGACTGTCATGGTCCATTGCAGTTAAATAAGTGTCACTGTACACATACTGTTTGATAAGACATGGCTGCAGCTTGTTGGTGTTAGTGCACATGGTGTATGGATTTAAAGGCACGCACATACACAATATGGGTTATGCACGTTTTTGTAACCCGAGTGGTGCAGTAGCCTGCAGTCTTCCGTTAGCTCTCACATTAATCTGCATCGGTAAACGGGCACCGGACAGCAAAGAGACACTGATGGACAGTAATATGGGACGTCAAGTAGACTAGAATACTTAGATGACTGCGAAGAGATGGAAAACTGGAAGGGAAGAGAGTGGGGAAACGTGAATGATTTTCATAGACTTTTAAAGTAAAAGGGAGGGAGCCTGTTGCTTGTCTGCTGCCACTGGAGGAGAGAGAAGTATATTACATTGAGAGACAGATTGCCGGGGGGGAGGAGGAAAGAGGGATATGTGATTCTGGTGAAAGGCAGTAAGAGTTTGCAGAAGTGAGGTCATACCTGGACTTCTCCCATGTAGAGACTTAAAACCCTCAGCTCAAATGATGAACTTCAGGGAGAAACCCTCTCCCTGGCTTCGGGGGGGGGGGGGGGGGGCAACTCATCTGATTGCTAAAAGAAGTCAGATTGTATGGAAGGCTATGAGAAAACGACCCTGCATCTAACTCGATTTATTCCCTCAGTAAACATTGTAAATATGAGGGGGGCATTTCAAACACCGTTGGTGGGACGGCCCTTTACCGGGTTGTAATAAACCGCGTAGGTCTCACATGTCAGTCACACCACTAATCCCAGAATGGGCACAAGCGACCGGTGACCAGGGGGCAGCTTCACATCCACCTGGAGCCACTGCCTCCACCCAAGGGTTCAGTATCTCCCCCCTACACCCTCGCAGGTCTCCGCGCAGACTGGCCAGCGTGTGTGTGTGTGTGTGTGTGTGTGTGTGTGTGTGTGTGTGTGTGTGTGTGTGTGTGTGTGTGTGTGTGTGTGTGTGTGTGTGTGTGTGTGTGTGTGTGTGTGTGTGTCCGTGTGTCCGTGTGTCCGTGTGTCTGTGTGTGTCCGTGTCTCTTGCGTGGACTGATGGTCCTGGAGGAGTTCTGACATTTTATTTTAGTTGAGGCTTTGCTGTCTTGATGGTTCGCTCTCCGGCCTTTTATTGTCTATACATGTTTGTATCTTTTCTTATCGTCACATGATCAATACCTTGAATCGCCTTGAGTCTGAATAAATATCCATAGATAAAATTGCACTCCTTAGTGTGTTGTGAAGATATTTTCCACTCTGGGCCTTTTTGCTCACAGTGCTTTCCTTACAAGGGTGTCTCGCTTCTCTTTCCTTCATTCAACGGAAAGTGTCCTTAATCCAAGTTATCCACATTTAGGCTACAGCTCCTGAAATGTCACCTTATCACCACAGTTAAGATGAATGGACTACTGTGAGATATTTTACATAGCTTGGTAGGGAGGAGGTTTGGATTGTAGGAATGTACGTATTTTTTCTCTCCTCCTTGAAGTCTAGTAGTAGTTTGTCCTGTCCAAAATAGCAATTACTCAGTACATCTCCAGTTGCGTTCACACACATGCTGATAATACAACCAGGAGTTCTACAGCGACAACCTGAAAACAGGGTGCTCTATCCAAAAATAACATCTTCGTTCAAGACATTTCAGTCTTCATAGTCGGGCCGTAGTAAGGCCTCGCCTCGGCCTCCCGGCGTCACCCGGGGGCCGAGGAGAAAACCGGGGGGACCAGGTTACAGAGCTGCAGTCCTAATGAGGTGTGTAAAGACAGCTAATCCAAAGTTTACACTCACGGCTCACGTTGATTACATGCCTGCTGCTGACACATCGACCAGCAAAATGTACACACAGCGTCTCCACACAGACACACATTCTACACAGCATGTGTGCTGTCTCTCACACAGCCACAAGCTAGTGTCTGCTTGAGGCGGAGAGGAGTAAGGACACCCCCCCACCACCACCCCCATCAAAGGAAAACCCACATTCTGCTGTAGCTCCGCTTTCATCCATGCAGAGAGACGTTAGCCGCCCTCTGCCTTCTCCCCTGAGCTCTCTGGCTGCTCCAGTTTACACTTTCATATCTTGTCGACTGTCAGAGGTACTTTGCTCTGCTCTTCAGAAGGCTTCCTGCTACTCAGCCTACTCGTGCTGGTGTGTGGGAGGGGGGGTGATATCACTTCTCTCTGCTTCTTGTTGTAATGCGGGAGGTAGTTTTTGTTTCTTTATTTTTGATTCTCCCAGATCTCCTGCACTTTACTTCACCCTCATTTTAAATAACAATAATGGTAATAATATCCTTTAAAATCCAGAGGAACTTACACAGAGCTGCAGGGATTCAGAGTCAGCTGGACGCGGGGGTGCTGACCCAGGAGCTTGAACCCAGGTCTTCTGGTCGCTCCACCACACCGCCATTTAGGCCTTTTTCCTTTTCAGACGCAAGCGCCGTTTGGGACGGGCGACATTGGGTCACAGGAGCCGGTCGTAACCCGGCGGCCTGCCTTTGACGGTCGCCCGGTGTTAAGCAAGTGTTGTGACAGTTTGAGATGGATGGGAAGAGAGAGGGGGAGCGTGGCGAGGTGTCTGGGCCCTCAGCCTCGACTCTGACCCTCTCACTCCCTCACCGACCCTCGGCACTCCTCTTCCCTCCCGCGACCCCGAGGAGCCGTGACCTCAGAGCAGCGTGTCACTGAACGTCCGGTGGGCCTGGCGGGAACGGGGTCTGGAGACACTCAAAGCGGGGGGAGGGGGTCACTGGTGGAGGACGGGAGTGAGTGAACAAGCACTGGAAGATGTTTATATGTGGAGCGGATGTTTGGATTGCCTCGAGTTGGAGGGAAAGAGCGAGATAAGGCCCAGGCTGTGTTAGTGCGAAGGTTAAGAGAGCATCTCAAAGCCACATCCTCTCCGTAGTGATCTGATCTAGATCATCACAAGGGGACAGTGGGGCTTCAGAGCGGGGCCCCCGTTTCAGTAAACAAATGTACCTCTGCATGACTCTGCAAGTGGGCAGCGATGGAGAAATGCGGCACATGGCGCTCAGAGAGGCAGTGCTGAGGGCTGCTCGAGTTCTTGAGGAAGTTTGACTCGTTAATTCTTCATGGACCCAAATGACAGTTAAGTTACATAACATGTTTGCATCCTTTTGAAACCCGCATTTTCCTCATGAACTGAACTGCTGCTTTTTCTTAGTTTAAAAGTGTATATCAAGCATTCCTCAGTTGTGTGCATCAGCAGTTTTTCGAGCAGGGAGAGCAGACTCGGGGGTTCAGGCATTACTGAGCAGGGAAATGAGGCTAATAAATATATAATGTATATAAAGTATTTTTGGAGATGGGGGGGGGGGTTGGTTGGCGCCAAGGATCCTCGGGGCTTTGTGTTTATAACGAGCGCTCCTCCTTCCTGAGGAGCAAGCCGGAGCTTGCTGTTCACTTGGTTGAACTTGACTCTTTGAATTCTCTCATTCGTGACACGTCAACTTTTTACCACAATGCTTTTTATTATTGCCAAGTCACTAAGAGGTCAACCTTAAAATAACCCAATGTGAATTGTGCTTGACGTGTCCAGGAGACGCCCGGGTGCTGAAGGAGGTGGGCCGGGCCCTGGTGCTGTACCGGCGGGCCGTGATGCCTTACGCAGCCTACTCCCGCAAGCGCAAAGGCTCCAGCGACGAGGCCGAGGTGCAGCAGTACGCCGACCTGGTGGGCCAGGACTGTGCCGAGAGGATCCTGCTGTACCGCGCCTAAACGTAGAGCGCCGTGCACCCCACCTTTTTGAATGCGTCCGTGAATACGCAGACCCCCCCCCCCCCCCCCCCCCCCCCCCCACCCCTCCAGTCTGCTTCTCTTCACGGACGTCCGTGTGTCTTCCTGACTGTCTGCCGCCGCTCCCTGACGTCTCACCGCTGCTTCGCTCTGCAAAAGCTCACTGTCGCTGCATGTGTCCATTCACCCATCGGCCTCATTCATCACTTATCTCATTTACATCTTGTTCATTGAGTAATCCCCCCCCTCCCTCCCCCCTCTTCAGGCACCGTCCTCTTGAATGTAATGAATCGCTGTGAGTTTTTTGTATCCTGAATTGTTAAGTAGCTGATGTTAGCGGTGAGGATGCTACACACAGGCGACGGCTCTCCTGACGCGGGTTTAGATTTAAGCATGTTGTCCTTTAAATGTTAAGTGATTTTGGTTGTCAGCTGCTTCTATTTTATCCACAAACATTTTATTGTTTTGTTTTTTATTCTGGGGCTTCAAAAAGCCCCAAAATGTTTTTGTCTGTAATGTTTGTAGCTTTGTTTGATTTTCTTTTAATATTATAATTGTTACTTTTGATTAAGCCAAATAAATGAGTTGTATAATCCTGGCTTGGATTTTGTGGCTTTCCTTTGCATACTAATTATTCAACACAACCCTTTATCCACTGGTGGAAGGATTTCGGGAAGAATAAAATCTCACGATTCCTCTAGCTGGTGCAGGCAGGCCAAAACATGCACGAGATACATGCCTGACTGGAGACCTGATGAAGTGGGCCGAGCGACCGGTATATATGAGGGATGAGGGATATATGAACCGGCAGAAGAAAGCACTAATTGGCTCTCTCCCTCAACCATGGTGTCTACAGGGCGGGTCTTCGGCTCAGCATAAAGGCCGGCTAGTTTAACGCGGCTATGTAACCGACTTCACATTTAACACACACCCTGGTTACAGTGTCCGCTCCCAAAAACAATCTAGACGTATAAATGTTGTATCTGGTTAACACTAAGAAGGTATCGGATGACTCAGGAACTCCCCTAGAAACACAGCAGCATGCTGCCAACCACAGACTGTAAAATGTCAACTTGACCCCAGACTACCTGCCCTGTCTGCCGGCACCCAATCCCAATAATACAGGACAGAGAGAGAGTCTCTCAACTTTAAACCACCAGGGTTGAAGAGAACAAATTATGATGGACTGACAGGCTAATTGTCCAAGAAGGGAACACTGACGCTGGCTAGTGGCCCCATCTGATTGAATGTTTCTTTCCCACATTAGGCATGCTTCCCCTCGGAATTAATGTGCTCTCACATAGGCACACACACACACACACACTCTCCTGGCACTGTCACAAGCTGTTAGTCCTGGTGGACGCCACACACGAGACATGTGCCAGTGCTTTGGTGGACCGCTTTTGGTCAACACAAGAGGCCTAGACCGGTTGGCTATTTTATAATTCCATAATGCTGCAAGACACAGCCGTTTGAACATGACCCTGATATATAACTGTGGCTGCTCATAAGTCTTTTTAGGCACGAGGTCTGTAATTACCACGCAGTGACGCTAAAATACTCACTACATGAAGGGGCTTGGAAAGAAGGCTTTACTGCCCTGAGTTACTAGAGATGTTTGAATATCACTGATTTATTTCAGCCTGTGTTGGTGCCAAATGGGCGAGGTTTGTTACGCTGGAAAATAAGAGACTGCCAAGAAGCTGGGAAAGAAGGGTATGACCCTCTGTAAGGTAACCTAACAAGCATCTTCGGTCACTTCGACCGGAGAAAATGTGTGCCACAGAAAATCGCACACTGTAACCACATCTTGATATGTGTTGTTATGTGGGAGTTGAAGATGTGAAAAGACTTTTAATAAGTGGAAACATTTGCAAATTTGCTTTCAAGTTTATTTCCCATCTGCCGCTGAGATGCTGGCTCGTGAAAGAGTGCGGAGATGAATGCTGCGGAAATGCCACTCAATGTGTAAGCCACGAGAGACTGTTTTAAAGTTAAAAGATGAAGGAACTCGAGTTAGTCGAAATGTTAAAGTGTAAAGGATCCTGAATGTCAGTTGCAGTTGTAGTCGGAGAAGTTTGTGCATAGTGTCACTAAGTAAAAGGCTGTTTAGAAGTATTTGTATCTCTATTCTGTTCCTCCTCTCAGTCTGCACACAAACCCTGCGGCCATGTGAAAGTGCCCGGGGATGCACAGAGGAAAGAGGTTGTGTCATCGTCAAACAGTATGGGCAGGAAAAGCATGTCCCCTAATGAGGGAAAAGAGACGTCCGTCCTGACGTCTTATCCAAACTGTGGCAAGAGAAATCCCGCTTCGCCTCCCTGTAGGACGGCAGAGCCGACGGCGCGGAAGCAAACGCTCATGATCACATGCGCCGCATGCGAGTAACCTGGAACGCCATGTAGCATCTACGCTTACACCCTGGTTATGAACATGAAAGCATCGGGGGGGGGGGGGGGGGGCGTTTGAGCCCTCTCTTTTCATTACACCCCGGGGGCTCGAATCTAAACACTGCCTCTGCCCACAGTGTGCCGTGAGCTGCTTGTTCGTATTGGCTCCCCATTAGGACAGTGTGATTTTTACAGGTCTATTGTTTTTCCTGTCCCCCCCCCCCGGCTTCCTCCCTAGTCCACCAACCAGTGTCTGAGTGGGAGGCGTCTATAAGTGGCGTGTTATTTGTGCCGTTGCAGCGCAGACGTGTATTATAGTCGCATGACTGTACTGGCACCCATGGCACGGCCCCCCAGGGCAGCGGAAGCTCCCAGGCCAGAGGAAATGCTGGGCTCCTTTGTGAACCGGGCCCCCCCCTCTGGATTAAGCGGATCGCACCCCAAATGCAGGCCCTTTCTCTTAGGGATTAGCTAGAGGACGGGGGGGGGGGGGGGGCGCCCACTCCCACTGGGGCCCTGTCACCTAAATTCAACACACCGTCACAGGGCCGCTCCCTAGCCCCCTCGCTAGGATACAGGACATGAGGGGACGCATTGTGCCTCTGGAGACAATGCTAAAGTGATTAGCCTGATTTATTGGAGGACCGTAGAAAATGCATTTTCAGACTGAGCTTCGAGTTGAGCCACATCGCTGAAAATGTTCACGAGCATCAGGTTGTCGTACACACTGCATGTCAGTCTCAACAGTGAACTATTTGAGGCCCAGTCGATTTATTTGCAAAAGGTATTTGAATTCATTGCATCTGTGATGCTACTGTCAAAGTGATGTACCGTCCATGAAGAGGTCTCTAAAGACAACAGATGCATATTTATCATTTGGATAGATTTGCTTGCTTTTACAATAATCAATGACCAAAATCTACATGTATAGATTTTTATTTTCTATTTTTGAAGCAGTTGTTTTCTGTGCAATCGTAAATGGTAGTTTGCAATATTTTTTCATTCGGAGTACCTGGTGGACTTTAACTAAGTACTGTAGTGTATTTACTTCACTATACTGTATGTACATCATTGCAGTGTTGTACTTTAAAAAAAATGTATCTATAGTAAGATTAAGACAGGGAATTCTAACCCCTTCTGACTTGTCACGCTTTCAAAAAAGGACATGACTTGACTCAAAGGTGTCTGTTTAGGATCCCTTGTCCCTTCTATTAGTCTGTAACAGCTCTACCAAAGAGACATTTCCCCTTAAACCCTCTCAGTGCTATTTCTTGTTATAACTCAACACAAAAACGCTTTATTCTCTCTAATAAAAATAAGCAAACATTAAATAATTGTGTGTGTTTGTGTGTAAGGATGTTTAGTTTTCGTCTCATCTCATGATCTTTCCAATTATGTATTTATCTTTTGAATGCCTTAAAATGCCTCCTAAATTGGAACACAATGGACAACTCTTTAAAGTAAATAAAACTTGGTTCACCTCAACTAGTGAGTTCTTCCATTCATTTCACTTAAAGTACATTTGTTTATTATATTTCTCAACTCGAGCAGGATGTAAAATGCCAAAACTTTGCTTGTAAAAGAGTGTTTGTACTCTTGACTCATGTCTACACACACGGTCACGTCCAAAAACAAGCTTCGTAGAACAAAAGCCGCCGGGTAATTCATCACACTCAATAATCTAAAGGTAAACAGGCACGAGAAGAGCTGCTGTGTCGGCATGACGACACAGACAATAACTGCAGAGAGATGGATGTTGTCCTCATAAACCCCTCCATGGTGTTAATGCTCCACATGAACGTCTCTCTTCTCTTCATTGTGTGCTCTCCTGCTCCTCAGCTTGTGCATCTCTTTCTGTCTGAGGCACTTATACATATTCCCACTGACATTAGAATACTAATGTGTCAGGGTGAATAGAGCGGAGCTTTTCAGTGGCTGTGGGAGTCGACCCACCTCTCAATATGTGTCCTGTCTCTACTGGGGAATCTAAATCTTCTTTTGATTGCTCCCTCCGTGTTGCTTTTACGCCTCAATCTCATTTAACTCCGCTTCGGAAACTCCCCTCTCCATGTTGCATATCCCCTTCCAGGTTCTACTCGCTACGGATCATTTCGAAAGATCATTTCCAGCAGTTTGGAATAGGTAGAGGCGAAAGGCACAAACAACACCAACCGCCTGCTAAACGTCTCCGCGCGTCTATCCTCCACACATGGAAAAAAGCATCGCCAATATTTATAGAGCTCTAAATCTTTGCCTGTTGAATGCTGCTGCTTGTCGAGGGAAGCACTTGGCATTGTCTAGGCGCCCCGCTGAGTCTGAGGGGGATACGGACCGTGGAGGAGAACAGAAAGTTCGCAGTATAATTAAGATTATAAAATGCTGATATTTATGGCTTATAGACTCCAGCTTGGAGAGTGAAGTTGCAGCAGTGAAGCTGATTCCTTTTGACACTGTTTTCCTTCACTGTGTCTTTCATGGTGTTTTTCTTTATGGAGCTCAATCTCTTATACAGCATCTCACATTCTGCCCTAAAACCCAACCTAAAGGAGTTAAAAAGGGCTTCTTATACTGTATAAAAATGGAAAATGACTGGAAGATTTTTAGAACTATATGTTCTATCCCCCAAAGTTGTACACCAGTCTCCAATTTTCTCCCCCTCTCCCCCCCGCAAGAGAATCCTCTACACATGAGCAGCCATTCCTGATTAGCCACACATTTGAGAAATGCCAGAAATCTTTCATGCGCCTTGTCTCAGGAGCAGTCAGATGTCCATGCAGGACTGATAAAAGCTGCGGGTCGGGGAGCTGAGACTTTCCGAGGAGAGGCGCCGTGCGCCATGGGGTCACCGTTTTGTCCAGTAGCTCAACTCCCAGCCAGCTCCTGCCCCTCTAGACGTTGCCAGGGATAAAGTTGTAAAAGAGAAACCGATGTCTTTCTCTGATTAAAAAGGACCAGACCACCTGAACTCCAGGCTCTGACAGCTCATGAACTGGTTAAAGCATTTGCCAAAACACTTAATTTTGATTTCTGGCTAAACGTGTGCACAGGCCTCCCAACTGACTGGCTTGGGACGGCTGTTGAAGAGGGTGCTGCTTTGTGTGGATGGATGAGGAAAGAGAGGAGATGGGGTAGTGGTGCACGATACAAGTCCAGTATGTAAAGGATGTCAGATGGGAGCAGAAAGATTGAAATGAAAGTGTATGTAGTC